CCCCAAAACCCCAAAACCCCAAAACCCCATTTGTTACTTAATTAGTAGAATCATAGATATTTCGAATATAAGCACCCACTTGTGGGTATATTGGTGAGGCTTCAGGAAATCCGATTGGTGGCTGAGCGATGGGCTGGATTATGTTCGACCAGAGCAACCTCTTGACTGGGTTTATGGAGTGAAGGAAGGAAATGTGAGCGTTGCCCAGAGATCGCAGAAGACAGGTTCTAGTGAATGTTTCGTTCATAATATAATCAAACTGATCGGAAAGGCCGATGCATATGCAATAAAGATTCAAGCACACATGAAGATCAGAGGAGCCTAGATGTTCTTGCTGAGGACAATTTGCCAGATAAACTTGAAAGTCTGAAAAGTCTTCAGATAGAGTCATTGGTTGCCTTTTCACAAAGTAGCCTATCTTTTCACCATGAAGATAGAAGGCTTTTGAACGCTGAATCATTGCTTGGATAATAGCTGAGTTTTTAAAGTACCTTCAAAGATCTTTAAACGTCATTAATGAGGTATCTTGGTTTTTATAGAACATGGAGTCATAAAGAGCAATTCGAAGATCCACCAGATCTACGACTGCTAAGAACCAGTGGTCTTGGTTGACCATGGGGATAATGATCTTTTCAATAAGCTTTTCTCCATTAAATCTCAATCTGTCACCTGCAAACAACATCTCTTTGATGTATTTATCTGCAATCTCGTATCTTTGAGCTTGATCAACCTTTTCATCTGATAGGTAACTCCAGAACTGTGTCTTAAAGATCAGAAATTTCTTACAATTATCCTTTATATCCTTGATTATAATATCTTCCATTGAGAGTTCTTGAACCTTGTCTCTATAATCCCACAAAAGTCCTTGCATCTTTACATTCAAATCCGCTCTTTCCTTCATCTGCACTAGCCTGACAAGTCCATTAATTAAACTCCCTGACGGAACCAAGCTTGGCTGCAGCGCAGCTGCAGCCCTTGGTTTCACTGGAGAATTCACAGAAGTAGGAGCTGGGTTTGGTGCTTGGGGAGGATCTTGGCAGGGACTCGAAGGGATTTGTACTGGAGGAGTGATTTCTGGAGAGGGGTGGGGAGGAGAAGGATGGGTAGGGGTTTTGAGTGGGGGAGTAGGAGTCGAAGCGGCTTTTGGAAGGGAGCTGGAGAGAGTCTGTGGGGGATTTTGAGGAGGGTTAAGAGAGGTTGTAGGAGGTGGAGGTGGGTTTTTACGCTTTTTGATACGGGCTCTGGTGGGTTTGGGCTGGATACTTAGTATAGGGTATTTTTTGTGAGGTGATACAAGCTTATCAACTTTATTTACAACTAAAGTTATCGTCTGGTTGCTCTCCTCCTTTCTCTTCACTTCAGGTCGATCCTGGATATTATGGTTCGCCTTTTTAGGCACTTTTCTGTACTTGACACTTCCATTGGAGGTTAACTGCATCTCATTCTCTAAGTAGGAAGACCGAAGATGAAGCTCTTCAAATATAATCTGCTTGCTCTTCATCTCGGCCAATAATTTGCCTTGTTTATTAGTGGTCACTAAATCGAGTTCGTACTGGGTAAATTCTGACTTTTCATGAGGTAAACGATCTCTTCTGGGATTTTGGTCAAGGAAAATATCAAATATCTGAGTTTTGTAACTCAAATGTTGGGTCTTTTTAATAGCTTTTTGCTCTCTCTTTTTACAGTTTCTTGTTGCTTCGAGGTTCATCTTCTTCGCCTTGGCTCTTTCTCTTGGCTGTGAGGGAAAAGTGCGTGCTTTAACCGCAGTGCGTATTCTTTGGGCTTTAGTATCTTCCATATGCTAAATATCAGTCAGAAATAGTGGATAATACCATATCCTCCAAATTTTAATATCTTATTTTCAACTTAGTCAAACTTTTCAGGGGTTTTGGGGTTTTGGGGTTTTGGGG